AAGTATAATACAATATAATAAGTATAATACAAGATAATACAAGCGAGCTCAGGGGAGCGGGTAGAAGAGAATACTAGAGGCAGTCGAGGAGTGATTTGAAGTGCTGAATGCGGAGTTGCTGGTCTAAAATGGAAACCCACCACCACCACCTAATTCACAATTAAAAAATTATTAAAAAGAAAAAGGATGAAGCCTAAGCTATACTGCAGGCATTGGTTTAAAAAGCAGGGGGCAGGGATCCAGAAGCTGACAGAACACCAATTGAAACGTTTCAATAAACTGTTACGATGCAAGACTAGAAGCACTCACTGGTTTCTGCTAAGAAATTAGGAAGGCAGCTACCTGGCCAACTGAGAGATCTGCAGGTGAGTCCACTCCAGCAGAATACAAAAATTATTGAACAATCTCCTCAATGTCACAAGCAAGTAAAATTATGCTGCAGATAATTAATTCATCAACAGTTGCAGCAGAACATCAACAGAAAGCTGCCAGAAATTCAAGGTGGATTCAGAGGAAGACTTGGCATGATAGATATTACTGCTGTCATCAGATGGGTTTTGGATCAAAGCAGAGAATACCAGAAAGAGGCTTTGTTGTTGTTGTTGTTGTTGTTGTTGTTGTTGTTAGGTGCCATCAAGTTGGCTCCAACCCATAGCGACCCTATGCACAACAGAACAAAATACTATATGATCCTCTACCATTCTCACAATTGTTCCCATGCCTGAGCCCATTGTTGCAGCCACTGTGTCAACCCATCTCCTCAGGAGCCTTCCTCTTTTTTGCCACCCTTCCACGTTACTGAACATGATGTCCATCTCCAGGGACTGGTCATTCCTAAAAATATATATCCAAAGTACGTAAGACATCTTAACTCTAAGGAGCACTGACCTTCCTACTTTCAATACAGATCAGCTTGTCTTTTCAGAAGTCAATGGTACTTTCAATATTCTTCTGCAGCACTACAATGCTAATACATCGACTCTTATACAGTCTTCCTTATTCAGCATTCAACTTTCACACGTGTATAAATGTAATGGGAAGTACCATGGCTTGGGTCAGGCACACCTTAGGCCTTAAAGCAGCATCCTTGCTCTTCAATACTTTGAGAAGGTCTTGTGTAGCAGACTTACCTAATGCGATACATCTTTTGATCCCTTGACTACTGTTTCCATGAGCATTGATTGTGATCCTGATTATGGATCCAAGTAAGACAAAATCCTTGACAATTTCAACCTTTTCTCCATTTATCATTTATCAAGATATGACCTAACGCTCCAGTTGCGAAGTTGGGAGGTTTCCCTCCTCTTTCACAAAGGTGATTAACTAGTCCCAGGAAGGATCCTTCAGGCTATGTGCAATTTTGTCTTTGTAATGTCAGGCTCATTCGCAATTTTGTTCTGTTCTTCCAATTGGCACACACAGTTTTCAGAACTCTTGTATTTGGAAGGCTGGAAGGGCCCAAAATGAAATAGTGTCTGTTTCCACTGTTTGTTTGGGGTTTTTTTGTTGTTGTTTCAGGTGTTTTGAATGTGTTTTGATTTTTTGTTTTAAACTAAAACTATATAAAGCTTGTTAATTAAATACAAAGGAATTCTAAATTTAAAAAAAAAAACAGTTACAATCTGGGAAACCAACAGGATGGGGGTTGTTATGATTCAGCAATGACTCAAGGGCCCTGAGTTTGGTTTGGTTTGGTTTGGTTTTCAGCAAGCAAGTGTCTGTCATCTACATACCGCTAGTTGTTAATAAGCCTTCCTCAAATCTTGATGGAAAACTCTTCTTTGTATAATCCAGCGTCTCTGATGATTTGCTCAGCAAATACATTGAACAAGTACAGTAAGAGGATGCAACCTTGATGCAGACATTTCCTGATTTTAAACTATGCCGTTTTCCTTTGTTCTGTTGGCACAACTGC